GAGATCGGATATTGGATGTTGATAAAGGTTTGATTCTTAAACAGCTTGTTATAATAAAATGTAAATGAACAAAAAAGTTGAACATTTTTTTGTTAAAATTAAAGGGGTTGGTTAGTGGTTTACAATGGTTGATGAGATTTTTACACAATAGCTGTGAAAAGGGAAGTGACAAAGAGGCACACTCTACAACTTGATATAATTATACAGTTTAGTAGGCATGTAAAGTCAAACACGTGACAGACATGGATCATATGAAAGGAAAACGAGTTGTTAGACTAGAAATAGGGATATGTGCCTGTATGTACAATAACTACCAGGTTGATGTAGTTCTACCAAAATTGGAAGTGAAGAACATACAACATGGAATTGAACAGTCAACAGATGTATATAAAAGATAAGGAATATTATACTTAAGATTAAGAAACAAATAATACCACAAGGGATTAAGTAAAGATAATGTGGGATATGAGGAGTTAGATTTTTTTAAAAAAATTTATATATGAGATTAAACAAAAATTTTGATATCGGTTCAAGATTTTTATTATTGATTAAGCAATTAAAGGACGGCAAGGTCCATGGAGGCTTCCATGGCCATTTTGAAAACTACACATCACCGGAAGGACATACAGCACTATACCTACCTAGTCTAAGCTAACAACGCAGTTTCGTTCAGATGCCAGCGTCACGTGACTAAACCAGCTATAACGGAGAAGGGATCAGACCTGGAGGGCTGTGTCATGCCCTGGCACATGAAATCTCCAATCAAACCAATGGATCATAAACCAACCCCTTTAGGGGAACAAAAAAAGGTCAAACGGAGGTCTTTACAACTTTGTAATCCAAGACTTTTGGTAAAATCAACCTTACTCATACATCCTATACCCATCTCTTCCTCTTGCAATACAGGCTCAGAGGGAACAGCCAGGATCATTATCTCCTGAAACCTTAGCAATATTCTGCCATTTGCTATTTACTGGTTTATCTGCAAGCCATGTAAACCATTCACGTATCTTATACTAACTATCACCACACCTGATATCACACATCACACAGCTACATACAGTGCATGTGCCTTCAGTGATGATGAAAACTTATGATGAAAGTCTTCAAAAAACTAAAAACTTGGACTAAAAAGTAAGAAAAAGGCTTGTAAAGGGGGATAAAGATCAGACCAAGGGAGTTGACTGACTCTGCTTTTTTGGAGAAAAAAAGGACGATTGTGGTGAAATGGCTTAATTTCAAGACCTGAACCTTTGACCGCTGGACAAATGCATGTTTCCTCGTCTATCTGAAATTTGCTCCACATAAATGGTGGATAAAAACCTTTCTTACATCTGCTGTCACTGAAATCCTGCTTTCAAGTTGCTTTTATCAGCTGGTGTCCAAACCTATTTGAGACTCAGGATGTACATCATAATCGGCAAATTATCCACGTGACAGCAGTGTGCTGCTATTTTAAATTGAATAATGCACCCTCTACACTGTACTTCATACTACTAAACTGTGTTAGTTCCATCAGAACACCATTTAAATTTATTAACTCCAACATTTTAAGCATTCGGGATTTTACTTACCGGTCAAGTACAGTTGAACAATAAACAATTTACAGTTGATCTATTATCAAAATGGGTAGCCAATTCATTTTTAGGCTCAATTTCTGTACATGATTAAAGTCAATTCAAAGAAATCGAGGTCAATGGAAAAACTGGAATTATACTCACCAATACTTAAAATCTGCCACAAATTTAACTGCACAACAAAAGAGCTGAATACTTCAACAGTTTCATGTTTCGTTGGGTTAGTTCATTGGAAAAAACAAGAGGGAAACAAAACATGACATCTAAGATTAGTCAGCAACGAGGTGGGTGAACTTGCAGTTTGTAAGATTTTAATGTTTTAGTCTTCTATTATGCTAGTGGCTTTTCTTTAAATTTTGCTAAATTAGATTTTTGTTTCATTTTATGTAGGGAGGGGGGTGGTTTGGGGTTGGTTGTCACATTCATTAGCTCTGTTAAAAAAATTTTGGTTTAGGCACCGTTAGCTCAGTGGTAGAGCTGCCGACCCATGTACTGATCATTGTGATCCTTGGATGCAGCGCCAGGCGTTCGAACCGACCTGTGCCCCTTTGCTGCGTGTCATCCCCTCTCTCTGGCACCCCTTTCCGGTCTATCTTCAGCTGTCACATAATAAAATAAAAAGCCCCAAAAAATATACTTTAAAAAAAATAAAAAATAAATGTTGGTTATCGCAATATTCAGAATTGGGGTCAGAAGTCACCTACAGGGTTGTTTCAGGTGCACTTAACTTGAGGTGAGAATAGTGTTGGTGTTTTTACATTAAAATGTAAATATTGAGCATTTCTGCTTATATTCTAGGCAGTAGGTTTATAATAAAAAGTAAGAAGGAAGAACTATAGTTTAGCTACGTTTTATTTAGCTAGGCTACAACTTGTGATTGTCAGCTTAGTCGCTAGCAAAAAAATCCCAGTTGGAACAATAAAAAATGCACTTATGTAAATTATTTGTCCTATTTATGTTCTCTTGTGGCAGGAGATGTGTTAAGTTGTCGCATTTCAGTGAAATTCAACTTTTAAAGCTCCAGTGTGTAGGATTTAGTGGCATCTAACGTTAGCTGTGTAGTTGCAGAATGCAACGTGGGACAATGCCCCTATCTAGAGCCAGTGTTTGGTTGATCCTTTCTGATATACTGTAGAAACATTGCGGTTCAACATGTCAGACCTCGGACGTGCTAGCTAGCTGTAGCCGAAGCTGTAGATATTCAACAATTCAAGTGATTACATTAATAAAAACATACTTAACTAATATACTTAATTTTGGACAATACATCCTCCTAAATGTTACACACTGGGCCTTTACAATTCTTGTAAATCCCAATAGGAGCACTAGGAGGAGACAGAGAATTGTCTGTCTCATGTACTACTGTCAGGATATAGTGAAAGTTTCACCAAATATGACTAAAAAATATTTTTCTAAAAGGCCACTTTTTGAGGGATTCAAATATAAGTAATCAGTGTGACTACCAACCCCGTTCTCTCCTACTATTTAAAACCTGATTTAGTAAACCATGACAAATTTTGGCATGGTCCTTTAAAAGTTATAGTCTTTACTTCTGGGAATGGGCTGAACAGCAGGTGGCCCAAAAATACATCACAGTCTGGACTGTAAGCCCCCTGTGTATCCTGTTTTTCTCTCAGAACCCGCACGCCAAACCCCATTCAAAAATGTGGCAATTTAAAGCCGAGCCACTGGGTAACAGGATTTGAGACGGCGCGGTGCACTTTATCTCAATCACACAACGTCCACTTTAACAATAGGTTCATATTCTCACGACGCACACGGGCCAAGAGCCAGTGCACAATTACAGTTCGCCTAGGGCTGCAAAATGTTCCCTCCTCGGGGAAGGGTTTTTTTGGCCGAATTTCCACATTTAATATAGAATTGTTACAGGGAGCCGGACCGGGAGGGTTTGAGAATCTACCCCTGAAATAAATTCAGCTATGGAACAGACAGGAAGCCAAATAAGAGAAGACATAAAACGTCTTAAACCTTGCTCCACCGTGTATGCCCGGTTATAAGAGGACACATAAAACTGCCATCTTTTTAAATGGATATCAGCCGCAAGGGGAAAAAAGAGAAAACGCTGCGTATCGGGGGGGTTCTGTCAGGATGAACTGGATTACAGCTCAACAAAAGTCAGGCATGTGATTTGAGCAGAAAGCAACATGAATTGTGTCACAGATGAGATGCTGGAACAGGCGGCAGCAGCCTGTTAGCCGGGGACGGACGGATGGATGGATTGTTTCTGCTCTCCCTCACATTACATCTGAAGTCGTGGTTCATCCGACAGAGGAACCGTCGGCTGCGGGTGCGTTCCTCTCGTCGGCTTGATAAATGAGTGTGCAGCCAGCGTGTGGCCGCTTTAGTCGGCCCTTGTTTTACCGGAGGACGGCAGAGAAACCAGTGAAATGAGGCGAACAGAAGCAGCAGCAGATAAGATTTCGTTGCATTTAGCTCCTTTAAGGAGCACCAGTCCGTTTGTTCCGCTGTGTATCTGCAGCCTGACTCGCTGCTAAATTGGAAATATATTATCTTACCTGCAGAGCCGCCATCAGCATCCCAATCCCAAATAGATGCATTTTTGCTGCGTTGTAATTCCTCCTACCAGAAGCGACAGAGTTTGGACGTCAGATTTGTTTTTAATTCCCGGTAAACCCCGGCGGCATGAGGCAGCCTTCCTTCCTCCCTCACCAGCCCTCCTCTGTGTATGTCTGCTCTGCCCGGCTCAGCGGCACTCCAGCCTGCCTGGGACTGACTCAACGCCGGCCCCCTCCGCACCTCACTGCTGCCCTCTAACGGACACAGATGGAGAGCTACTGCGTGCTCACACAGTTCATGGATGGACAGACACAGTGTGGATGGTACCAAACACATAATCAAGTTCTAGGGGTTCCCACGCGCCCTGGAAAACCTGGACATTTAGAGACTAGCTTCAGGGAAACACCTGGAGAATGGGTTAAAATGACCAAATATCCTGGAAATAATCTATGTTGTCCTGGAACATTTTAATTGTATTTTATCCTGTGCTGTGGCCAAATTACTGCCACAGTTCGAGGAAAGCTCAATAGAGCCTTTTTCACAGCAGCCATTTTGACATGAAATAGTAGGGTAACCACAGGTGTAGCCAGTGATACTGATTGAGAGTCAGGGGGCAAGCTGGCTCACTAGAAACACTAAATGGAACAGAACCTTTGTTAGTATCATTGGTAACACCTGTCTTTATCCTATTATTTTATGTCCTAATGTCTGCTGTGAAAAAGGTCTATTCAGAAAGCAGAATAATCGGCTGTGGTGAAAACAGCCAAGCGCACCACGAAAGCGTGCTAATGCAAAAGTGTCTCATAAACAATGACCTATGGCTAACCACAGTTTGTGAGCAAGGGCTATTCTGTATTGTGAAGAAAAACTCATGTAAAGGTCCTGCATATGGATTTCTTAATAACAGTGGGAACCCTGACGTTCACGCACAAGCTTTTATTTGAGATTAAAAGAGATATAGGTTTAGGTATAGGTGATCATTCCTCCTCATTGCTGACTTTGAAGAGGTCAGGAGGAAAGAGGGGACTCAGGTTTCTCTAATAAAATCAAAGTGTACGATCAGAGGGCCAAAATGTAATATTCCAATCACACCAAAACATACACACACCAGTCTACCATGGCAGTTTCACATTTTGCTCATTCTGCAGGCAAGTTATCAACATCCAGTTTAATTTTGAAGTAAAGCTTGCTGACCTTATGGTACACAAGTTAAAGGTAGGGTCGGCAATCCTGTTCAGAAGCACGTTTTGTTATACTGGGTGAAATGGTCCCTCTGTTGTCAGAGGAATCAATTCGTTATGTCTT